TTTATTAATAATTGCCATTTACTAAGTTCAGGTAGATGATCATAGATCATTTGATCCGGACGAGTGAGAAGTAATGCAAATCTAATTTCTTTTTAAACTGACGATGATACACATGACCAGTACCCCAAGTGGAATCGAGTAATATCCAATGTTGATAAATTTTTACCGCATTCCATGCATGATTTGTACGAGAAAACGAACCGCCTTGTCTATAATTATAACCCTTAGCATAACCACTAATTTTTACACATTGTAATTGTATACTGTCACATAACGTTTTAAATAATGTAGCATAACCTTCACAAACACTTTTTTTACTATTAAATATTGCTTTTGGATTTTGACTTGGGATGCTGTGTCGAAAAAATGAGTCGATATCATATTGAATATTTTGTGAAATCCAGTAGAATATAATCCATGTTTGATCAACAGGATGCTTATCCAATGAAAAATCTTTTATTGATGAAATTAATTGTTCCAACGTGTCGTGTCTCCATTCTTCGATTGTTGTACGATCGAAATTATTTTTAATAGCATTTTGTTTTAATTGACAAAACTTAGAATTGAATACATTCACATCTAATGAGTCACATTTTATTTCACCACTTTCTTCATTGCTGTTTGTTGGTAGAGACGGTGTATTTATCGGTCTAGTTTTGATTTCATTAAATGTATTGTTTTTGTCTTGGTCCTGCATATAACCATTGATACTGGATCTTGACGATGAATCGCCGATAAGTGAAACGACAGACTCTGCTTGGTTTGTTGTCCCATTAACTTTTTTACCATTAATTTGTGTTGTGCTGCTTGTTTCGTCATAGTTAATATTCATTTTGGTTGTCGGCGAAAGAACATTAATCTTGGTATTCTCTGTAGGTTCGCTGACATTAACTGTTGAAGAATGATCTCGAGACAACGGAATTAGTCTTCTTTCTTTCTTGACCAAGTTTCTTGTTCTTGTAATTGATCGATGTGGAACATGGTTTCTGTGTGATGACGATTTTGGTTGCTGATTAATAACCATTGCGCGATTTTGTTTGATCGGGTCGAGACGTACACGATTAATATTTCTTTTTCGATAAGGTAAAGAACTAAGATGACTGTGATTAGTAGTACTAAGCGCAATATTACGGTTGTAAATAGTCCTGTTAACTCTTTGATGTTCCTTATATCCAGTATCGTTTTTTTGATATAAGTCAGTTCTGTTATTTGATACTATTTTCCGAGATGAAGAGGATTCGTCTGGTTGTTTTTCTGATGATGGTACGATAGTTTTTGTTATTTGAATCTGAGTTTTTCCAGCTAGCATTGTTTAGCAGAAATGACAGTTATAATTACATACAGTTAATATTTTTCATATCAACAGGCAATATTTTTATTTATTATCGTATCCTCGGAAACAACAATTACATAAATGTGTTATTTATATGGTGCTCATGCATATTTGGTTTATTACACATAAAGAAACGACAATTTAGGTGAAAGCGTAAATGTCAATATAACATAATACGTTATATTGTTAAGCATTCAAGGTAATTGTGTCATCAGGTTTCCTTTCACAGAAGAGGAGCAGCCATGTCCATGTTGACCACGTTTGGATACAAAACATAGTATATTGCTGATGACTCATAGTGTAACGCATAGCAAAAGATAGGGACTACTACACCACCAGCTACTCATGTACTGTAGTTTGAATAATGCAACATTCTAATGTGCACTAAACGAAAGTATACTGTGCGTCCAACATCGGTGATATTCGATGCCTTTTATAAGAATACTAAGAAAATATTTTTACTACTTCTAGCTTATGCGTACAGTCTAAATATGCTATTTGACATTTACTCTGGGAAAAACTATACATTTTAGCTTTACATGTTATCTTTATCTGAGTCTTTAATTTGTCTCAGTTTACATATCCAGAATAGAGACCTGCACGGATTAAGAAAACGTAACCCGAACCCGACCCGACTGTCAAAATGCCGATCCGAGCCCGATCCGACCCAACAACATCTTAACCCGAACCCGACCCGACCGGATAAATTTTTACTCTTTTATTTTGTTCTTATTTATGATTAGTGGATAAGATATAAATTTTATTGTCAGAAGTTTATTTCCAGTCCTGGTCATGGGTGCTTCCGCACAGGTCCGCCCACTTTATACACGACTTAAAGCTGGAAAGGTCTGATTATATGCAATCGATAGTCCTACTAAAGGTATGTAAAGACCCCTGTCGGCCCACGGAAAAATTATTCCGAACACGGTTTTTCCTCACCCATAAGTTGTGAATTGAAGCGTTTTTAGGGGTGTCAGAACAGCGAAATCTGACCTTATCTAATACTGTCAAGCGTTCTCATACTGCTAGCTGGAAAGAGCATACACAGCTGCATATTTCTATCCGCCAATAAGATTTTCTCTTCTGACATTAGGAAAGGATTTTTGACTGGAAGACCTTATCTGCATTAGCAGATACTATTCGTTTTATAGCGTGCTG